CTTACTGCTTACGGAATCTCTATTTTTTTTCTTCATCTAGCAACTACAGGTATACTATTATATTCATGATAACGCCAATATTACCTAAGAGATGGGTGGAGATTTGTATATATATATATATATATACAAATATATATATATATGCTAATATGTTGTATTTTGTCTCCTCACCACAGTGGATTGGGATGGACAGTCACTGCTACACATTGCTGCATCTGAAGGCCATTTTGCCGTTGCCCGTTTTCTGCTGGAAAAGGGTGCTAAAACTTCCAAGCGCAACCGTTGGGGTCGTAAGTATAAGTTGTTGCACACAATGTTGCATACAAACCGCTAAATGGGCCTCCCATGTGTCGTGTGAGTGTCATGAAACGTCATAGTGATGTCAATCGAACCCTACATGGCTCCTATGGTTGTATGGGTGTTATTCCTTTGTCGTCTCAGTGGTGGTGAGGTAGGGGTTGATGTATTGTGAGTGTCGTTAACGCGTTGACTGTGTACAGATGGTAATACAGTGAGGACTGAGTTATGACTAAGATCACAAATCCTCCTGGCAGCTCACTCACACCCCTGCCAGGGGCCGATTGAATGTCTTTTTTTCTTTGGGTCTCGTCGATTGTGTCAAAAAAGAGTGTCTGTCGTATACAATATTGTGTGGAAGTATGATGTGTTGTTATGTGCACTTGGTGATGTCATTACCCTCTTCTCTACCTGTGCATAGCGCTCGCCTTGTCTACTCAGAAAGCAGATACAATCTCCTTTGTATTGAACTTGATACGTTTTGACGTGATTATTCTATTTTTATCTTCCAATCAGAGATGCCGATCGAGCACGCCGTGGCCAATCAGAATGAAGAGATGGTGTCCGTGCTGGCGGGCGAGGGTCAAATGTCCGCTGCCGTTAGACCGTGGAATTGTGAGAATGACAAGGCAACGCTTCTGTTGTACCATGATATTCTGCTCAGTGGAGGCATACTCTCGTCGGGTATGTATGGATATTGGTATAAGAATGCATATATATATATATATATTATATAGATGTAGATGTATATGTATATATATATGTAGATGTATATAATATGTATACGTGCTGGTGTTAGTGTTGGTGGAGTTTTGCGTATATATATGCTCATCTCGTTGTTCTGCGCAGTGGCGACATGCCTTCGTCGGGTGCCTAAAGGTATTGGTATAATATGTATACATATAAATATATATATATATATATATCGTATATATATTGCATACGTGTTCTTGTGCGTATGCATGTACGTTTGTGTGCATGTGTTCTTCTCGTACTCGGGCATGAAGGTCGTTATCGCTAAGTTGCATTCGTGTATTTCGTAGGGTTGTGTTCTGTAGTTTTGGTGCGTCTATGATTTCTCGGGCTGTTCGCTGGTACTGATGGTGGTGTGGCCTACTTTCGTCGGGTGTGTACTATAGTGTACCGGTCTATTGCTGGGTATATGTCTGCTGAGGTGTTAGTATTCGAGTTTGCTGCATCGCTCGCATGCTTGTTCCCGTGTGTGAATGCCTGCATTGAGTATATGAGCGACACAAGTGAAGATAGGCTTTCCTTGCTTAGCGATAAACCCCCAGCAGGCTTCACAGAATATACGTATGCAACTCTTTCAATATCCAGTAGTCAAGTTATCACGTCACCTGAGCATCGTTAACGCGCAATCCGTTTAACGATTTCATCAGCCTCTATAGTGATTGTTGTGTCATTCACCGCAGCACTCGGCCACGCTATCGCACTCGTACAGTTTTTATAGCACTGTATATGAGTTCCAATGCCAGATTCAAAGCAGTATCTCACACGTATATATATATATTTATGCATGTATGTATTATATATTAATATATATATGTATGTAAGGATGTATGTATGTATGTATGTATATATATATATATATTTAGAGTGCATACGGATCTTCTAAGGGCTGTTAGTCGCTTCAACCCTTTATTGCAGCACTCCAAGGAGCTACTGCAATGAGTACCCACCGACAACGTGACTACCTGTCCTTCTTCCAGCACCTGCAGAACGAAGGCTGCAAAGCCGTGTCTCTACAGGTAAGGTCAAATGCTGTGCTATAAATAGAATCAACCACGCGCGTAAGCTATAACCATGTTGTATAGAAACTTCACGTCTTGATCTGTAGATTGGATATATATATATGTATTCATATTTATATATATATGTATGTATATGTATGTATATACGTACATGTATATATCTATATATATATCTAGGACTAACAGCCAGGTGAATTAAATGGTCCCATTTAGGATCAAATAGAATTATTCGTTTAGCCCAAACCTAACCACTCAGGTGATTCATATCATGTGTTTAATTTTACTTGTTGTTTCAGGATGTGATCCTGTCTGGCTGCCACACTCCTGAGTTCCACGAGTACATGCTGGACCACATTGTGTGCACCACCGACGATGAGAACGTCACACAGAAAGAGATTCTTAGCTACAAGAAGGTCATTCTGCAAGGCATGAACATGCACCAACTGGGGTGAGTATCTGTATATTTATGTATATATATATATGTGTGTGTGTGTGTATGTGTATGTTTTTGTCTGTGCGTAGGAGGTGATATGTAAAGTGGCGTGATGAGATATTTGAATCATACAAATGCGCAAAGGTATGCTCTTCTATTTATGTGTACATCAGTTTACTGTTGACGGGAGAACTATTGTTAAATATACGTACGTGTGCCTAGGATTTCGATGGATCATTAAAAAAGAGCGTGGTCGACAACATAAAATGGAAAATAGATTTTTAAGATGCATCCGCTGCGTTGAGTGTAGTATGAATGCACTGTCTGTACATCTAATGATATATGTATATATATGATATATATATATATATATATATATGTTTACTTGAGTTGAACTCGTGCGTTAAGGTATAAATATGTTATATCTGTGAAGTGCACATCAGCGCCTAGAATTAGGTAGAGATGGCAAGTCGTTCAATCTGTGCACGTAGACTGATTTTCACGAGTATATCAACACAAACGTATACTCTCCTGGATTCTGTCCTTGGTGTGTCTTGTGTCAATTTGAAGTGTGCGTGAATGTATGTTTATGAATCACCGTCACTCAGATCGGTCTCTTCAGCTGTGTGATTGTTATAATGTACGCCTGTCAGTTGTATACAATAATGAGGGACTACTCTCAAGGGATTCCAGTATCAATAAAATCACAATATTCTCTGTAAACACACCAAATGGCTGAAGAAATTAAACACCAATCAAACACATTTTTTTAAATTTTAGATACGCCGGGGCCAATCATATAGCGCTAAATTTAAAACGCGCCATCGACGGGCGCCTGGAGTGTGACAAGTACTATGTCGAGCCACTGTCCGATCTGCTGAATGAGCGCTTACAGGTACCGAACTGACTGTTCTCAGTCTCCCTCTGCGCGAATCAGTGTATTTGTCTCTAGTGTGCTTTGTGCTTACTACAGGCTTTATATTTGCTCGTTTGTGTTACATATATTCTATATGCTAAATATAATATATATATAGTATATAGTTAAAGATATCGTTATATGTATCATTCGTTTTGTTGTCTGTCTTCGTTAGCGTATTGGGGTTTCTGTATCAGATTATTAGTTGTGTCCAAAGTCTGTCATTCTCAGATATGCTAAGATGGGCATATGTCTCATATCTGAATACAAACTCGTGGTTGCCTAGCAACGTACTCTGTACTGAGCGTCTAGTGTTGACATAGTATCTGTGTATCCCACAGGCATATGAATACCTTCACATATCAACGTACGCGTTTTCTACTCATAAGCACCTAGCTATCCTAAACTACATGGTAGCCTAGCAACGTACTCTGTACTGAGACTCTAGACTCTAATGCTGACTAAGTATTTGTGTACACCCACGGGCACTTTAATACCGTTACCTATCAACGTGCGCGTTTTCCACTCATAAGCACCTAGTTAACTTAAAACCACCCGTGTCTGCTGCAGATCTGTACCCCCAAGGGCGTTGTATTGACAACCACCGTCGTGGACAGTCACAAAGAGAAGATTCTGCGCCACGTGTTCGAGCGCCTGGGATTGCCCATCATCGCCAATCTGCCGCAGCCCCTGCAGATGAATGGTATGGCTACATGGGCTGTTCTTGTCCTGTTTTATATTGTATGTACACATAGATGTGTGAGATTGTTCGATCAGTAGTAACCCTGTATCAACCCCTGCAGATGAATGGTATGGCTACATGGGCTGTTCTTGTCCTGTTTTGTAGTGTATGTACACATAGATGCGTGAAATTGATCTATCAGGAGTAACCCTGTATCAACCCCTGCAGATGAACGTAACAGCTCTATTGTTCGTTGTTGTTTTTGTTTTTGTGATCAGATCATAAGTCATAAGTCCCATTTGTGGTCTTGGGAGGAAGGGTCACTAGGCGCACTGGAACATAGCGATACTACCAGAGTATAGCCTCATATTTAGCTTCTAGTAGGTAGTCGCATGGTAATTAGGCATAACAGACGGGCTAAGTGCACGAGTGAACTCATAGCGATAATGCCAGACTGTAGCCTCGTGGAGTGTTTA